TTTCGTTAATGTACAATGCACTAGCAAATGGTCTTGCATAGGCGTTCAATAACACTTTTGGCAAACTTCTCAAGAAGATAGTCAATCAATCAAAAAAGGATTGGCATGAAAGACTAGGGAAAGCCTTATGGGCTTAACTACATATAGAACATCAACTTAAGCAACTCCATATTTGCTTGTTTATGGTATAGAAGCTGTTCTCTATCTCGAACAACAAATTCCATCCTTGAGAATTGTCATCCAAGAAGGTCTTTCAAACGAAGATAATGCTTGGCTGGCTTCGCTTGCAAGAGTTAAAAGCATTGGATGAAAAACAACTTGAAGCGCAGCAACATTTGGAGTGTTATCAAGCTCGAATGTGCAAATCTTTTAACAAGAAGGTGCAAATCCGGTCTTTTCAATTAGGCGATCTAGTTCTACCAATAAGAAGCTTGACAGTGCTCTTGGCTCGTACGAACTAAAACTGTGAATGGCTAATAAAAAAAAGACAAAACAAAAACATGCAGCTGAACTACATTATGACTTGATCCTTCCAAAAGCGAGTACATAGGCAGCTTGGTATTTTAGTAAGTACAGTCATGCAAAAAAAAAAAAAATTCAAGATTGAGCGAGAAGCTTGAACAAAAATTGATGAAGTGTTCCGCTTTATGCCTGCAGCTTTGAAGGTGCATGGACGAATGAGATTCACTGGTTCATGTGGAAGTACAAACATGCATAGCCAACAAGAAATTAAAGCAACCAAGTAAACTTCTTCTCGTAGATCATCTTCTATGTTTAGAATTTCAAAAGGCTTTTGCCAGGTTGCATCCTGCAGTAATTTGTTACTAATAACACTTGAAGGATTTAAATTCTTCTTGGAAGTAGCAGTTCTTTTAGTGTAGTCTTTTTCAGGAGGCTCAAGATATCTAATAGGACCGCAAAACCAAAAGTTCACCAAGTTTCGAACATTCAACTCAAAGTTGTTCTCAACCCGTTTGGCATTTTTGTAGTATACATGAAATAAGTATTTGCAATTTCGCGGTAAGAAAGGAGTTCCACCTCCATCGACTCCAGTAAAATCTGCAGCTGAAGGGATCATCTCATCATGAAATGAGCTATTGAATGGAAGTCCTCCTAGGAACTTCAAATCCCAAAGAGAAATCCACTCTTCCCCAGTTGGGAGGAAAAGGGTATTTGTTGAAGCACTCTAATGTTCACAGAAATGATGAATGACGATGGGGAAGAGATCGTAGGTGAGGAGTGATGTGAAAAAAGCATGATACACCTTGGCTTTCAAAAGTGGTTGCTTATTACTTGCCAACACAACTTCAAGCCACTCCCAATAGCATTTGATAAAGAAAAATTCACCAATAAATTTGAAAGAAGGATGCCAAGAAACTTCATTGTTGTGGATGTGACTTCTCAAAAGGGCAAGATTATTTGATGGAGTTCGAAGCGAGTGAAGTGAAGAATGTAACAAACGGCATTGGGCGCGCTTAACTACTTCATGTGAAAGTTGAAATTCACTTCATGTGAAAGTTGAAATTCACAAGTACGTTCGATAGTCCAATCCATAAGGTGAGGTGGGTCTACTTTGCTTGGTGTTTTGGCTCTAATATATATGTCGGCAGATCTTTGAAAGGTGAAGATCATCCTAGGATTTGAATCAAGATCATTCCAGGTGTTTTGGCTCCAATATAGTCCAATCAAATTGCTTAAAGACAAAACTTTGAAATTGAAGAGCATCCTCATCAATTTCATAAGAGTTGAAAAAAAAATGAAAAAGAGGCCTGACTATACAACTAATATTGGTCATGAATTGACTTATCGTCATGTTAATATTGCAAAGGCTAAAGCACTATTATTAAACGCGGCTCGACCTGGCGGGTTGACCTAGAAAACTGGTGAATCAGACTCATAACCAGCTGATTTTGCATTTGAATCAGTTAAGCAATAAAACCGGAGTTCAACCGGCTAAACTGCGGTTAAACCTGGAGAACCATTCAACCCATAGAGACCCATAAAACCCAGTCCGATTTTAATTTTAGGGTAAAAGTACGCTATTTGATGAAAGTTCTGACGTTTCACTACTTTTTACATGTAATATTATATTTTGCCGCAAAGACTGTCAATCAGGTCATTCAAATATCAAGCAAACAAATCTCTAATTTTCTCTACACGTAAGAGTCTAAATGCACTTTCTTCTTTTTGTCTTCTTTATTATAATGGTGGGGCCTTATATCTTCTTTTAGGTTACTTTTGAGTATGAAAGCTTGTTAGAGTGTTTATATCTTCTAATTTCTTAGTCTTTTATGGTCTTGTATTTTTTTTAATATACTACTCCAATGATTAGAGAATGATATTAATTAAGTTACCATGTGTATCATGAAATAAATTTAACTTGCTAATTAAGTATTTTATCAAAGTAGAACATAACCTCCGTTAAAACAATTAAAATTCAATTAATCACAAACCATGAATCATAATTAATTATTTTCATTAGAAAAAAAAGCAATGCAATAATTGAACAATTACTCAAAATATATATATATATATATTAACCATCCACCTACTCTTTTGGCCAGGTCAATGTCCCGACCGAGTTTAATAACATTGGGGCTAAAGTGTTGGATTATTAATCATATATGTTGAAGCATGCAAGCATCAGCGCACATGAATATATAATCTTCAAAGTTGAGATTTAATCATGGCAATCATAAGCCACTTGTCATTGATATTGATTTAAAGGGAAAAAAAAAAAAAACAAAGAACGAGAACGAGATCTCAGATTGGGAATTGGTAATTAAAGCAAAGTATTGATGTGGGCCATGATGTATTCATATGCTAATGTTTTATATAGCATTAATTTGGCATATATATGTGTATGCTAATACAGTAATGGAATTTAGAATGAAGAGAATGTGACAAGATACTGCTATTCTTGGACAAGATACTGTATGCTAATACAGTCATGAGCCAATAAAATAAAATCGTCAGTTATTCTTTTCATGGAACAGATACTGCTAGGTTAATTTTTATTGCTAAGACAAAAGAGACGTACCTGTATATATAAAGAAAAAGAAAGTTTGAGACGAAGGCTTTTTTTTATGGAAGATTTGTCAACGAATTCGATAAGGTTTTAAACTTTTAAACTCCAAATTCGATAAGGATTAATTCTTTAACCCCGAATTCAATAAAAATTTAAATTCTCAACTCCAAAATTTTCAAGGAAAGAACAAGAAATAAAAAAAATTAGAAATTCTAATTATAAAAAATTATTAGAGTTTCACCATTTGGGCTAAAAAAAATTAATTAGCCTATTAAATTGGAGTTCCTAAAATTTTTAATTTGAAAATTCAAGTTAAAAAAAATTTTGGCTCATTAAATTGGACCATGCAAACAAAAATGAAATACATGCATAAAAAAGGGCATGAGTTAATTGAAAAAAAAAAATCGTCTTCTTCAAATTTTCGAAACCTGTTTAAAACAAGTGCATGAACAAGTCTCGAGGGGCATCTGTAAACACCAAAATTTTATTAAGTTAATTTAATTAATTAATATAATTATTTAATTAGCCAATTAAATTATTTATTAGTTAAATTAAATAATTTATTTTAATATTCATTTAATAGACCAATGCTAGTTAAATTAAATAATTTATTTTAATAACCAATCAAAATATTTAAATGGTTATTAAAATAAAATTATTGGATAAATATTATGCACTGCATAGATAAATAATATAGTAAAGGTCCAATAAAAATTAGCCAAGTGGATCAATTAAATTAAATCTTGGCGAATAAGTTAGGCGTCTACATTAGATAAGTGACACTGCAACAACAAATAAGAGATTGTCAAGTGGACCAATCAAATTACATACTTTGCAAAAGTACTCCCTCAAATCTCTATAAATATGATGTCTTTCTTCACATACGAGATACACAGATATATAGAGAAAAAGACAGAAAAGAAGTTTCAAAGTTTTGTCGAACGCAAGACTATAAAAAATCTCTTCCAAGTCCAAAGAAACAAAATTCTTTCAGTTTTAATTCAAGATCAAGTCTCATTGACATTTGAATTGTGCTCAAAGTCATTCTACATCAATTCAACATTAAGTTTTTTCGCCTGTTGAATCATATTCAAGATCAAGTCATTTCGACCCTTGAATTGTATTTGCGAAAATAAAGAGAAGAATCAGAGGATAATCTTTATTGTAATAGGAGATTCCACGTAGATGTTGTATTCATTAGTTTACTATAAATAAAATTTATATTTTTTTATTTTTTTTATTTTCACAATTTTCAAGAATAAATTTTACGCATACAATATTCTTAGTTAAATGTACATTTTAGTTATAAATAAGTAAACAACATTATTATTAAGCTGATAATATAAATGAACAAACTTGATACATATAACAAATTAGTCAATTAAACAATTAAAATGCATGCATACAAATATATTTAGATATCATTTGAAATATTAATTAACTAAAATTTTAATAATTATTATAATATAAGAATTGTTATTTAATTTTAACTATACTTCGTGAATATGTAATAGGATGACTTCAATTCGAAATAAAGCTCTCCAACCGACGTACATGACAAACCCACCAAAAAAGTCATAAATTTATACATCCTTCTTCAATCAAAGGCAAAAAACAAAATATAAAATAGAAACAAATAAAGTTTATTTTGTGATACTAATTAATAAGGAGGGTGACACGTGCTCTCCAATGTTGCAATGAATTTAGTAGATTATGAGACAACTGAAATGACTTAATATATTATTTTCAAAACCCTTTAAGTTAAAATTAAATCAAATTGCCAAATAATCTAAATTATGGCTAATGAGATAATTTTCGTTAATATTTTAAATTCATTGGTTAGGGAATAATTGAATAAGGTTCAACCATAAGAAAATCGGGTTAAATCATTTAAAAGCCAAGTGGAATTTCGATCGAATCGGACCAAATCAAAATTGAACCGAACCAGAGTATAAAGGCAAATTAGGAGAGAGAAAATGAGGAAAATCTCCTTCTTCCTTCTACTCGAAGCCGACAAGTCTCCATCACCATTCCATTTCATTTTTTAGGCGGAACTCCATGGAATCTGGCAAATGAGGACTCTAAAATTATACATATCGCAAGGACTGAGATTCGACCTTCGGTTTGCGTTGTTTGAGCTTCGTTTGCAAAATATATAGGTCAAAAGATTGCGGCACCATTGCATTCTGTTTTCCGGCAATATACATTGTTTTCAGCAAGTCCAAGGCCCAAGGTTAGTACCAAAAGACTCCCCTCCTCATCCTATTTCTTTTGATGGCTTTCTTGCTGATTTTTATGGCTAGAATCGGAGGACCCAATAATGACAGCCAAAACCTTTTCGGCCGATTTCCAGCCAAATGGTTCACACCCATGTTGAATTGACCAAATATTAGTGATCCTTTCATCATAACGAATAAATCGATATATGGTTTGCAATTTCTAGATGTAGTAGAATTTTTTACCATCGCGCACAGTGGTCGGCAGCAGCGATTCGGTGACCGGCCAGTGATGCTCTGGCAAGGCTTCAGAGAAAGAATCTTCTCCTCTTTGTGCTGATTCCGATTATGCAACCTGATTTTAAGATGTAAGCCAATTGTAAATAAATTTAAGATGTTCAATCTTCTAGCCGAAAGTTTGGATAGAAGTTGAATAAGTATAATGGCATATTAAATTGGTATTAGCTAAATGAAATAATTTGAATTAATTAGATAAAATGAAATTATATGGAGTTAAGAACAAATAAATATATGAACATTAACTAATTTTTAATTAACTAATTTTTAAACTAAGTAATTGTTGTACCATTTATAAGTAAAAATTAGCATATATGTTTATATATTGTGATATATTGTTGATAGAGTTTATATAGTGAATGAGTAAGGAAATTGATTGATTAATACAAATTATAGTTAGAATTATATTATTGTGATTCTAATTTGTGAATGATAAAGGTGAGATTGATTTATGAATTAATGTTGGAGGAAGGGACTTTGTGGAGATTTGTTTTTTTGCCCAAGGGATGGGCTGAGTTGATTGTTGATGTGCATGTTGATATTGAGATGCAGAAATTTTGAAACAAATGTTTTGTCCAATTTTAGGGAAAATGCTGTCGAATTTTCAGCAAAATGATTATAAGTAATCAGGTTAACTTTATCGTTGATAGAACTAGTTAGTTATAAGTGTAGTTTTGAAAAGAGAGAGTTTTATTTCTCTATGTTGTGTTGTAATTATCCAATCTCTACTCTACTATACATAAATACAAAGATTGTTCCAGTATAGCAAGTAATCTAAATATGAATAAATCTAAACTGGGAAAGACAATATTTACTCTAATTAGGAATAAACCTAAACTAGGAAAGACAATATTTACAAAGACTTCAACACTCCCCCTCAAGTTGGTGCATAGATATTACACATGCCCAACTTGCAAACTAAAGGATGAAATAACTTGCTATTAAAACCCTTGGTGAAAACATAAGCTAGTTGCTCTTTTGAAGCTATATAGGAGACATTTATAAAACCTTCAACTATCTTTTCTTTTATAAAGTGACGGTCAATCTCTATGTGCTTAGTTCTATCATGCTGAACTGGATTATTTATAATACCGATGGCTGCTTTACTGTCACAAGATAAGGATATATTTGTTGTTTCAACCAACTTTAATTCTTCCATTAATCTACGCAACCATAGGAGTTCACAGATTCCCTGTGCCATAGCTCTATAAACCATCAAGGAGTTACAGATTCCTGTGCATAGCTCTATATTCAGCTTCTGCACTGGCACTTTGGCAACAACAGGCCTGCTTCTTGCGTTCTCATGTGACAAGGTTTCCTCCATAACAAACATCAATAAGCTAAGGTTGATCTCTGTCAGTCAAGAACAGCCCAAATCTGCATTGTATAACGCCCTGATTATATTGTCAAATGGCATGGTTTAGAAAACAAAAATTTAAATATCTTAGAATCTGATGCACAGCTTCTAAGTGAGACTCCCGAGGATCATGCATGTACTGACTCACTAAACTTACAACATAGGCAATATCTAGTCTGGTATGGGCAAGATAAATCAACCTCCCAACCAATCTCTGATACCTGCCAACATCAACCGGACTTCCTACTTCAGCTTGATGATTATAATTTGACTTCAATAGGTGAGTCTGTAGGTTTACATCCCAACATGCCAATTTCTTTAAAGAGATTAAGAATGTTCTTTCGTTGAGAAATAAAAAATCCCTTTTTCTGATCTAGCAACTCCTATCCCAAGGAAATATCTAAAATTTCCCAAATCCTTAATCTCAAAATCCCTAGCTAACAAGCTTTTCAAGTGGGTCATTTCTTCTTCATTATTTCTAGTCATCACTATATCACCTACATAAATAATAAGCAATGTGATTTTACCTTCATGATGTTTAATGAACAAAGTATGATCAACATCGCTTTGAATTTACCCGAAAGAAAGCATATCTTTACTAAACCTTTCAAACCATGCTCTTAGTGATTGCTTCAGCCCATATAATGACTTCTTCAGCTTGCAAACTTTTCCTCTAGCTTATCATCATCAAATCCAGGAGAAATCTCCATATATACCTCTTCTTTCAAGTCATCACGTAGAAAAGCGTTTTTAACATCAAATTGATGTAACTCCTAGTCAAGATTGGCTGCACAAGACAACGAAATTCTGATTGTGTTCATCTTAGCTATAGGGGCAAATGTTTTCTAGTAATCAACTCCATAGGTCTGATTGAACCCTCTGGCTACCAATCTAGCCTTGTACGTCTCAATTAAACCATCTGCCCTATGTTTAACTATAAACACCCATTTATATCCAACTAGTTTCTTTCCTGGTGGAGGAATTACAAGATACCATGTCTCATTTTTTGCCAAAACTCTCATCTCCTCAACTATTGTAGCCTTCCATTTTGAGTCCTGTAATGCCTCTTGCCACTCCTGCAGTATATAAACCGAAGAAACAAACAAAACAAAGGCTCTATAGGAAGGGGACAAAGCATTAGGGCTAGAATCAAGATTAGGACCAGAATCAACAAGGATTAAAGAAGACTCACCAGGTTCTTGTTCTTCTGTATTTTCAGGGCCTAAAATTGGAGAGGACGGTTGATCAGAGATCTCATGCTCCATGGTTGTATCTGTATTAGTCCGCGGTGTGTAGGTTTTCAAATCAGGTCTATCCAATCTTTCTAGAGGTTTGGGTGGTTGTTCTCTCTTATTATCAATGTCTACAAGAATCTCCCCCTAGAAAGGAATGTCAGCCATCACCTCTTTCATCTTATTCTCCCTCTGAAGAGGTGACTGGGAAGGAAAATAAGACACAAATTCCCGAAAGGTAATATCCATACTAACAAACTATTTCCGAGAATGAGGATAATAACACTTATATCCTTTTTGAGTAGTAGAGTAACCAAAAAACACACACTTCAAGGCTGGGTGTCCTGGGAGACGGCAGAGGTGCACTGTGCTCTCGGGGGCGATGGTTTGTTGGTCCATCTTGGGGTGTCAACTAGCCGTTTGGGTGAGGGGTCTCTAATGGGCACTTTAACATGGTGATGAATTGTGAATAAGCTTGGGCCAGAGCAACCGCTACCTGAGGTTGGTAGTCAATGGAGGAACTAGCATAGGTTGTCCATTTGCTTCGTCATGGCAGTTACCTTGGACTTCCATCTTGAGATGTTCGACATAATCGTTAGCCATGATATTCGAGAGGAAAAGGCTGAGGTTTTTAGGGATTGAAGGTGTGCTCCACACTCACTGCACCAATTATTAGATTCTTAGAAATTGAGGAGTAAGAAATTGTAGAATTAACCCAAGCTTTGGGTGAATTTTTGATATTTATATTGGAGTAAGGAAAATTATGGTGGGATAAGGACTATAGGAATTCTACGTGTCTTATCAATTGGAGTCTGTTTAGGAGCCTAGTGTTTTATTAATTTATTAATAAATTACTTTTATATATGTTTTATAATTGTATATTATCAAGTATAAATCGAATCTATTTTTTTCAATTAAAAGGCATTAAGAATAGAATTAAAAATGATCTTCAAAAGGATAAATAGACTTATTTTCTTCAATTAAAATGCATAAAAAATCTATCTAAAAGGATATTCAAAAGTATAAATGGAATCTATTTTTTTCCGATAATAAACATAAATAAAATAAACAAGGATTTCATACAAAGGCAAATTCAAAAGGATAAATAGACTTATTTTCTTCGGTTAAAATGCATAAAAAATAATTAAAATGATATATTAAGAATTCCAAATTAAACTAAGGCTACTTTAGAAAATCTCATGATTCCCTCCTTTATTCTCACATGTATGTAGATTATAGATTATAAATTTAGTTTATTATCTATTAAGTTAAAGAGAGGAAAACAATGTATATAATAAATACATAAAGTATGTAATTCGCATGGTTATGAAAATCAGACTGGACCGATCGGATTGACCAGTTTAATTGAGAAACGGAGTATGGTTCAGTCCAGGTTAGATAATGAATTCGAGAGGTTAAAAAATCGGTGAGAACCGGCAAAAAACGCTGAACTGGACCAATAATTTATTACAATTCAATTCAAGAAAAAGAAAATATAAGGAGTTTTAGATAATAACAACAAAGGCTTCCTTAATCGGCAAAAACAGACGTAGATCGAAAGCTCTGATCATATTTTTTAAGAGATTCTGAAAATGCTTGTAAGATGGACTTCAAAAGGTTTAAGGCGGGTGTGAATTTCAACACCATGAAAGAGTTGAAGAGGTAAAGAGTTTTCTAACTTTTTAGCTGAAAATGAAATGAAAGAAAGAAGGTTGAAGGTGAACTAGTTGGCCATAATAAAGAAAGATGGAGAGATAAGGGAGGTTTAAAGACACTTCTTCATTTCAAATCTAAGAGTTTAGTATCACGAGGTGCTAAATAAATGAAATTATATAATATCCATTTATATCATAAAATGGCTGCAAAATGTACTATTGTTAATAATATATATAACTCTTTCCTTTTCTCTTTTTCAAGGCAAAAAAGTTGTTAGTTCAACAATAAATTTACAGACAATATACAAATTCGTCCTTGCAACACATTAAATTACTACTATTATCCTTGTTAAAATATAAAAGTTATATTTATATTCAAAAATTTAAATGTACAATGTCATTGTTTTTTTTTTTCAAACTCTGTAATTTATTATTTTTATTAGATAAATAAAAATTTTAAAATCTCATTTTATATGCAAGGGTTGTCAATTTTTTTTATAATTAATTCATTTGTTTTGTTCAATGTTAAATTTAATCATTTTTTATTCATTTTTATAAAATTTATTTAGTAGTTATATAACTTTTATTTCAATTGTGTTTAAAAATATATATTCAAAATATTATATATAAAATCGGTTAAACCATATTGACTCCGGTCGAACCCTCCGATTCAATGAACCCCTTTTTCCACCGGTCTAATGACCGGTTTGTTCTCAGAATATTGGTAATATGTATTTAGCTCTAACATTTAATTTAAATCCTAAATTGAATAAAATTAAAACATATATAATAAATAAAACAATTTTTAATTTTCATGTATATTCTTATTAGCAATTAAGCATAATATTTAAAACAAAATTTAATTATCATCAATAAGATTATTTTAGAATAATTTAAATTTTATTAAGGGCATTATCGAAAATCTCATTACCCCCTTCCTCATTTCCACCTTTTTAT